GATGTGAGACTTTCTCCTTTTTTTGTCTTCTCCATATCAATTTCTAATACCATACTCTATTCCACTCATAGTTCTATATCCATGGCTTGCACTCATGTATTGCGTGAGGGTTGAAAAAGCTGAAGCGTGTTAAAAAGTGTGAACCAGTTGCTTGGCCGACACCGGGGTAATGCATGATTTATACTTTGTGTTAAGAAGATAAAGCATGACAAGGCTATATGATTTTGTAGGGATAGCGTTCTTTAGCATTGATATTTTGAAAGTCATGATTGTTCGTTGGTATGCCTGAGTATTAATGTTTTATGTCAAATTATAGACTATTGCTTTGAATAATTTGGATCTAAATATTCATGCCATAAAAGAAAGATTACATGATGAACATGTTATGTAGCATTCCACATCAAAAAAAATTGTTTTTATTATTTACCTACTTGAGCACGAGCAGGAATTAAGCTTGGGGATGCTTGATATGTCTCCAACGTATCTATAATTTTTCATTGTTCCATGTTATTATAGTATCAATCTTGGATGTTTTATATGCAATTATATATCATTTTTGGGACTAATCTATTAACTTAGTGCCAAGTGCCACTTGACGTTTTTTGCTTGTTTTTGGTTTCCCGCGAAATCATTACCAAACGAAATCCAAATGCCATGAAATTTTTTGACGATTTTTTCCTAGACAAAAGAGACCCTAGAAGCTTCGGGAGGAGACCAAACGTGCAACGAGAAGGCCACAAGGCACTTGGGCGCATCCAAGTACCTTGTGGGCCCCTGTGGCTCCGTTTGAGCTAATTCCAACTCTATAAATTCTCTAAAATCGGGAAACCAACAGAGAGTCACCAAACATACGTTTTCCACCGTCGCAAGTTTCTGTCCTTCGGAGATCCCATCTATGGACCTTTTTCGATACTCTACCGGAGGGGGAATCGATCACGAAGGGCCTTTACGTCAACCTTGCTGCCCTTTCAATGATGTGTGAGTAGTTTACCACAGACCTATGGGTCCATACCTAGTAACTAGATGGCTTCTTCTCTCTCTTTCACCTTCAATACAATGTTTTTGGAGATCTATTCGATGTAATCTTCTTTTGCAGTGTGCTTGTTGGGATCCGATGAATTGTGGGTCTATCATCAGAACATCTATGAATATTATCTGAGTCTTCTCTAAACTCTTTTATGCATGATTATTATAGCTCTGTATCTCTCTGATCTATCCATTTGGTTTAGCCAACTAGATTGATTTATTTTGCAATGGGAGAGGTGCTTTGCGATGGGTTCAATCTTGTGGTACTCTATATCCCAGCGACAGAGACAGACAAGACACATATTTGTATGGTTCCCATTAAGGGGAAAATGATGGGGTTTATTCATATTTGGTGAGTTTACTTTGTCTACATCATGTCATCTTGCTTAAGGCGTTACTCCATTCTTTATGAACTTAGTACTCTAGATGCATGCTGGATAGCGGTCAATGTGTGGAGTAATAGTAGTAGATCCAGGAAGGAGATGGCCTACTTGTCTCGAATGTGATGCATATATACATGATCATTGTCTTAGATATCATCATAACTATGCGCTTTTCTGTCAATTGCCCAACAGTAATTTGTTTACACACCATATGCTTTTCGTTTGAGAGAGAAGCCTCTAGTGAATACTATGGTCCCTGGGTCTATATTTATCATATAACAAAATCCAAAAATACCTTGCTACAATTTATCTACCTTATTTTATTTTGTGTTTTTGTTTATCTATCTATCACTACGAGATTTGATCCTTGCAATTAACCGCCAAGGGATTGACAACCCCTTGTTTGCGTTGGGTGCAAGTATTTTTCTTTTCTTCATAGATGTTCTTCACAAGGTATTGTGTAGTTCTCCTACTGGATTGATAACATTGGTTCTTTACTGAGGAAATACTTACTTATCTCTACTGTAATGCATCATCTTCTCCTCCTCGTGGAAATCCCAATGCAGCTCCCAAGTAGCACCGACGTTGGAGCAAACACCATCACAACGACGGAGCCCGAGGACACAAGTCCGCAATGAGGATGCCGCTGCCACGCCATCCTTGCTTGAACAGACTAGTTTTCAAATCCATCCCCAACCATAGGACCGATCACCTCGTCGGAGTGGGATCAGAAGAATCTTTATTCATCACCGCCTTTGCCGCAGCCGAAGCCACAACGATGAACTGTCTAAAAACCTAAACTATGAGAGTCCAAAAACTATCTGTACGCGTTTGTCTGGCAAGTAGCCTGTGACCTTTGCTCAACCCAGCCTAAATTACCTGAAATATTGTTGTATGTGATGACTTTGTCGAATGAACCCAACTTTTCCAACTTACGTACTTAGTACTTAGGTCATCTCCAATGTCAACCCCCAAACCCCCTGCAACCGTCCAGACCGCATGGTCCAAACATGTTTTGCCATCCAAAGCGGTCCTGCATTGGCCCGCAAACCGGTTCGGATGTGCTTTTTCCTGCAAATTAGAAATAAAGTGGGGGAGGGGGTGTTTTGCAGGCTTCCAGACCGCTAACGCATCCACGTCTGGCAACCATGGCCCCACCCAAAACCGTCCTCCCCCGCTTGCGCGCATTGCCCAACGCCAGCTACCAATACAGGCCGCTTAGTGCGACCGCTCCGCATTAACGTCGACCCAGAGTAGACACGACCTCTCACTGCTCGCATTGAAGCAGCGCTCCAGCCGAGAGAGCACCGCCCGCTACACGCCCGGCTGAACACGCCTCCTCGCCACATTCAAACGGCTACAGACCGCCCGCCTGCCTCAATTAAACTCGGGCGTGTGCCGAGAAACTTACTTCATCACATGTCCATTCGTGAGCCAACCGACATTAAACACAACGCCAGTTGGCTCCCCGCGTCCGCCCGCTATTTAAACGATGCCAGACACCGGGAAAAAATCCCACCACACCTCCGCTCCCCATCTCCTCCTTGTACCATTTTTTCCACACACTCCATGGCATCCGGCGGGTAGTAAGAGTAGTTCTATGACATAAAAGCCGACTAGGTAGCCCGCGGGTACGAGCCAACCAACTCACTGCTTCACTTCCCTTGCTGCTCCAGGCCGCTGCATAGGGATGAAAACAGAGCAGAAACGGACGGAACTGAGTGCTACCACATTTGTTTTCATATATTTTTGCAGAAGTGGAAACGAATACAAAAACCTCGGAAATGAATACGGAAACAAATACTACCAAAAGCAGACATGGAGCAAATACAAAGCGGACACGGAAACTGAAGTGGTCATTGATTGGAACATAAAAAACCCTTGAATAATAGAGAAATACACATAAAAACATGTTTAATGAATTGTTAACATGGCTACAAAATAACATCGTTATGTTAGCAACTTAGTGTAGTATTGTAGTAATACTGGACAATTGCGTATAGGGTCAAGCTGCGTACATGTGTGGTAGTAGAAGTTGGGCTCAAATGATCCATTCTACTCATTGTATAATTGTGTGTTGTTGGTGGTTGGACTACAAAGCAGCCATAGGTCTATAGTAAAAACGAAAATTTCATATTCATAGAAATGGAAAATTTATGGGTCAACATGTGCTCTTTGGTTTCCATTGTGGGTCAACATGTGCTCCACAAGACCATTGACTAGCTGCGTGTGCACCCGATGATCTCGAAGATTTTGATGCATCTGTAGAAAGTTCGTAAGCTGAGCTGTATCTTGATCTTTCGGGATTTCAACTTGTTCTCTAGGTGCTTCAAAATCATTGGTTTGGGCTACACCATCAACCTCGTCCTCGACAATCATATTGTGCAAAATAACACAACATGTCATCAGCTGCCAGAAAGTTTCCGATTCCCACATCATTGCAGCGCTACGCACAATTCCTCAATGAGCTTGAAGTACATCAAATGCCCTCTCCACATCCTTCCTAGCCGCTTCATGCATTGTTGCAAAGTGGCTCTATTTATTGCCATGCAGGCGTACTGCGCTGGAGTCCAGGCCGGCGACGATGTCCCCCGCGGGGAGGACGGGAGAGAGGACTGCTCTGCTGTAGTTGGCGACATAGAGGCTAGGAACGACTGCAGAGTGCGCGCAACGGCGGAGCTGCGAGACGGATG